TGGGAAGAAGAAAAGAGTATTGGTCCCGTTCTGCTCTGTCAGACACCTGGTGCTCTGATGCCCTGGGCATGGTCTTGGCAGTGCTTTGGGGGCCAAGGGGGATTGCTCATCCTTCCACCTCTGTCAGCAGCACCAGCCCAAGGAGCTGCTCTCCAGAATGTTCCACTTTAGGCCCTTCCCTTGTGGTCTCCTTTTCTGCCATTTTTCATCTCCTATAATTATGACCAGAAATGTAAATGAAAACATAGAGTTGCTCACCAGGTCCTGAGGAGACCTCTTTACAGGAGAGCATGAGATGAGCGTGTTTTTCAGGTCAGAGCCTGGGCTATGAAGGAGGTGGGTGGGAGGATCCCCTGGTTAGTGGCAAGGCAGCACAGCAGCTGGCATGGCTGTCATCAGGTTAATTGGATCCCCAGACCGGACAGGATGCGTTTAAGTTGACTTTCAGTTCAGATCTAGCCTAGAATGCAGTTCAGCACCTTGCTCAGAGCAGATGCTCAGTAAAGAAGTGTTGAGCTGAGATTAGGAGCAGCCGAGCTGGCACGACTGTGGGTTCCCCACATGCGAACCTACTGCAGGACCGGATCTTTGCTTCTCCCTGATGGAAGATGGAGCTGCTGTACTGCCACCAACCCCTGTGTGAAGGCGGCACTGAGTGGTGGGCTCCTAAAGTGGGCCTGGGACCTGATGGTGTTCTGACAATCCTCTAACGGAACTTGGGGGGCCCCAGGTGGACTGGCCTGCAAGTGGGCTCCCATGGAACGTGATAGGATTGGCTCTATTCTGAGGGGCTTGGTGAAAGGACAATGGCAGCCAGCATCTGGGGGGCAAGTGACTGTGAATAAACAACATGTGAATAAGGCCAGAGAGAGGTGCAGGAGGTGAAGGGTCTTCCACAGGTGTCCTCTCTGGTGCAGACTCCTTTAGGACAGATGATTCCAAATACCACTGCATAAGAGTTGCCTTTGAGCTGGTCTTTGGAGCCCTTTTAGCCAGGGACCCAAGTCTTAGGAACGGAGCTCTGGTTTTGTTCACGTAATGCTGGGATATGAAAAAGAAGAGGAAACATGAGGAAAAAGATGGTGAGATGGGGGAAAAGGAAGAAAGAGGAGAGAATATAAAGTGCAGAGAAGGGAAGAACAGGGAGATGAGGAGTGTTAGAAAGGCTGGAGGGAAAGAGAGGAAGAGAAGAGATAAGGACAGTGAGCAGGGCAGCTGTAGAGAGTCAGGGGACGTTCAGGCCATGGAATGTGTGTGCCCATGTCCCTGGCTTTCTCAGATTGGTTCAGCCTGAACCTCACCCCAGCACCCTAGGATCCTGTGTAATGCATCATTCCAGCCATATGGGTCTTCAGACAGAGCCTATGTTGCCATTTTCAGGCCAGCATTTCATTAGGGTAGAGAGGCAATAATCCAACATGGATATAAAATACTACGTCTAGAAGTCACACAGACTGCTCAAGTTTGTCACCGTTGGGGTCAATTCAACAAGCCCTCATTGAGCATCTACTACATGCAAGTCACAGGGTGTAGTGCTGCAAGGAAGAGAAAGCCAGAGTCCCTGTCTTCAGGGAACTTATGATCCAGTAATGGTGGTCGTGCGCACTGTGTCAAGAAGACAAATGCATAAGTAGCCGTAGTGCAAGTCTGAACATGCTTGGTGGCTAATGATGGCCCCTTAGCTACAAGCGCCAGGAGATTACACAGAAAAATGATATATGTATCCACCTCCAGGTTTGTTAACAACTAGACTAAGAGGGGGAAGAGGGTTGGAAGTTTGCAGATGGGGACCCCTGTTTTGCACTGGATACTACTCTGTGCTCTGTGTCCATGGGAAACAGGCAGTAAAGGCACAAAGAGGAAGATGTATCTGGCCTGCTGGAGCAAGCTGGGCATTTTAGTTCTGACATAAAGGCAGAGCCAAGAATAACCTCTCAACTCTGAAAAGTGTCAGATCCTCGGGTGCAAGCTGAGGGAGACAAAGGGGTGATTTCAGTCCTTTTTCCAATGGACTAGAGGACTCTCCTTTGGCTGGGATGACTTAAGTGCTACACTGTGAAGAGAGAAAGGATGGGTGATATGCTGGAGTCTCAAGTTCCTCTTGGGCCTATGATTCTTTCTTTGAAATCTGTTTCTTCTCCTAGCACGGGGGCACTTGGGAGCTGGCACCAAACACTAACCAGTTACCCAAACCAGGGTTCTAGTGCAGAATCCGCCCCTGACAAATTCTGTCCCCTTGGGGTTAGTTACTTCCTTCTTGGTTTCAGCTTCCATATTTGTTGATTCCGGAACCAAGGCGGGGAAGTGTGAGTGTCTGTAGATACCTGGTGGCGTTTTAAAGGAATTAAAGTCACTGTTATCTCAGGGTCCCCAAAGCACCTCCTGGCTTTGGAAGCTGAGTTAGTCAGTCTGTTATCAATCGGAGGGGTTCATCCTGGGAAGACAGTCCTGTTTTTTAAGTAGGGTTTGTATAGAAGTGTATACTTGTTGCTTGTGCCCAAATGTTCATATTTGGTTTAATTTTATATTCCTGTAAACTTGACAATCATTTCTTTCTTTCTTTTTTTTGGTTTCATAGATTTTCTTTTAAAGGTAAAATGCTTGTGGATCTAGGACTACCACAACATCTGGAACATAATAGAAATTTTATGGTACTTACAAGTGCATTTCAAGTTTTTACTATTATATCCATGTTATAGATGAAGACACTGAGGTATGGAAAGGTTATATAACCTACCTAAGGTCATGTAGCTAGTTGAGGAAATAGACAGGATTTGAACCCACATGGCCTAACTCTGTAATCTCTACTTTTAACGTACAATAAACAACTGTTGAGTAGTTGACAGGCATGTTTGGTACTTGAGGGACCCTGAAAAAATTCTTACTCCAAAATATACTTCCCATGAGGGGAGTTGAGTGACATAATATTACCATCAAACATTGCCCTTTCTCAGATTTCTTCTAGTGCTGTATAAGATGTAGATATCCTATGAAGGTTTACAGTAACTCATCAGTATGAATTTATTTATCAGGTGTTTTTATTGTCTTATTGAATGAAAGTGCTAGAGGGGCTAGAAGGAATGGTTGGGTTCTTCAAAGAAGTCACAATACACAGCTATTTTCCTGCTCTTTTTCTAAACAGGGCTGGAGAATTAAACAGAAAGAAAATATGGTAGCTGAAATGCCACATTTTTCACTGACAGTGGTTAAATTATAGACAGTGGCTGTAGGTCTGTTAGCCAGGACTTGGTTGTACTAGACCCAAGAATTAGGCAGATTAACTAATTGAATGGCAGCCTCAGGCTGGGCAGGCCCCTGCACAGGTGTTGGTCCTCATTATGGCTTGGACGATCTCTGCAGTCCCCAAGTAGAAGCAGGGCTGACCTGAGCCAATCATTCTTACAAAACCTGCTAATCAGGTAAGTCCTACCATCTCAAGGGCAAAGAGAATAAAGGGGTACAAAGAGGTCAGGAGTGGGGAAAAAGTGCTCCCATCCAACAGAGATCTTAAACCATCATCTACTTGAGCCCCTTCATTGTGCAGACGGAACAGAATTCCAGGAAGGGGAAAGGATTTGGATAAGCGAGTACTGCAAGACCATGAGGGAGATGGACCAGGACACTGGATATCCTGACTTGAGTCCAGAGCCCCATCTACATTGTGCATTGTCCTGCTCCAGGGAGAGTGACAAGTGAGAGTTCTCTAGGACCTGGTGGGAAGGGGAAGAGGGACAGGAGCAGTAAAGCCAGGATAAGTGTGCCTAGTGATTAGGGCATGGGGTGATCCCCCTCAGCCATATCAGGGCATTCGGTATTGGAGTCAAGCCCTCTCTCCCCTGCTGTCCTCCTCACAGCCCCACCCGGTGGTGGAGCTGGAAGGGCTTGAGATCACCCACTTTATAAGTCAGGGTTCTCCAAAGAAAAAGAACCAATAGGGTGTGTGTGTGTGTGTGTGTGTGTGTGTGTATAAACATATATGCATATATAACATATATATAAAATATATATACATACATACTAGATTAGCTTACATGATTATTTGGACTAGGCTGGCAAGTCCAAAATCCTGTAGTGTGGACCAGCAGGCTGGAGACCTAGGAGAGCCAATGGTGCAAATAAAGCCCAAAGGCTTTCTGCTGGAGAATTTTGTTTTGCTTAAGGCAGTGGGTCTTTTTATTCTCTTCGGACCTTCAACTGATTGGATGTGACCCACCCACATTATGGCAGATAATCTGCTTTACTCAGAGTTCACTGATTTAAATGTTAATCTCATCCAAAAACACTTTGCAAGTTGACACACACAATGGGCTATCATACTCACCTCTCTCTTTAATTATTTTTGTGAGACTGGAACTTTCCCATATTAGTCGTTTGAATACCACTTTCATAATTTTTTTGCAGTATTTGTGTATTAATTTAATATTTTTTTAATCCAGTGTTAACACACTTAAAAAACTTAGCCTTATACTAAATATTCGAGATAAAAGGGGTTTGTTGTACTAGCTGTATTTTCTTCCTAACATACATAAGAATAATTAACGTTTTAAAAGCGTATGGTGGCACCTAAAACCAACTTGCAGGTGCCTGAGGCTACAAACGGCCACTAGGGGTGCAGTGGTCAGTCGACCCCGGGAGCCATCCTTTGGGGAGGGGCAGGCGGTGGGGGAAGGGAAAAGGGTGGGAGCTGAGAGCAGAAGACAGTGTTTTTGAGGCCCACCCGGCACAAGGCGGAGAGGAGACCACTGGGCTTTATCCCACCATGGGCGCCCTCCACGGCGCTGAGCCCCCGGGGAGCTGCGGCCGAGAGCGCCCATGATCCAAGCCTTTGGAGGCCCAGAGCCAAGCCCTGCGGCGCCCTGGCCCCCGTCTGTGTCAGGGAACGACGGGAGGTAAGGCACCGAACTTGGCGCGGCCATCTTCCCAGAGCACGGAGGATTCTCAGAGCACAGGCCGCCGCAGCACACGTGTGTGAGGGCCGTGCAGTGGAAGGGCGGTCTGTCTTATTCCTTCGCAGCCTCTAGCACCGCAAGGGGCAGCCCGTTTGGAAACATCTGGAGGCACCGCCTCCCCTTGGCCTTCACGTAGGGAGGTGGGTACACAACGCCGCCGCCGACGGGTGGAGGGGGCGGGGTGGGGAGCCGGGAAAGCTACTTTAGGAAAAGAAAGGTCGAGGGGAGCAGCCAAGTCAGCCAAGAAGGGCTGTTGGTAGTATCAGGGGCCAGAAGGCGACCCCCGGCGCAGAGCTCGACACCGAGCTCGACGGTGGCCTGTGGTGGAGGGTGCCTCGTCCTTATTCCGAGATGATCAAAATGGAATGTTGTGTCACATCAGTGCCCGCCCCCTCAAGAATCGTGTGCACACCATGGCTTGATTACTCATTAATATTCTAATGTAAATGGTTTCACTGCTTTACTTAAATGAAAACATTATTCTAAAAAAAGCTTTCATCTATAAAATGGTCTTAATGTGTACCTGCATCACCGGATTGATTTGGGGATTAAATGAAATAATATCTGAAAGTGCTTAAAACAGTCCCTCACACTTAAGAGCTCAGTGTACGCACAATTCTTACTGTTATTATTTTAGTGGAAAGTGAGTTGTGGGGAGCACCGGCATACTGGGGCATATGGGTCTTCAGAGAAGGTTTTCACTCTTTCAGGAGCTTTTGGAAACTTTTCACTTCCAGTCTAGCCTCCTCCCTGCTGTTTTAATATATAGTCTGATTGTCCTCCCTGGCTAATACTCCCCTGCAACTCCATTCACCCCTGGAAATTCCTGTCAGTTTAGTTGACTACTAAGTAAAGCGCCCAGCAGGTGGCGCCAGAGTACCGCGGGTGTGTTTGCCCGCCTGTGATTCCCAATTTTAAGGGCTTACTGAACAGCTTCCCACCCCGCCTCCCCAAGTGGTTCAAGGTATGGGGATCATAGGGTTGCTTGAGGGTGTAGGCAGGAGACCTTGGCTTCAGGGATAATATTACTGATTTATTATTATAGTCTTTTTATTTTACAAGATTTTGGCTTTTATTTGTTTCATACTCATATATTCATTCAACAATATTACTTAGATGCCTACTTTGTTCCAGATGTGATTCAGAGATTTGATATGTATCTGTGAATTAGAATAGATAAAGATTCTTGCCCTCATAGAGCTTACATTCTGGCAGGCAGCAGTAAAGATAATAAATTATATTGTATGTTAGAAGTGTTAAGAAAAAGTGTAAACTAGAACATGTGGGGATAGGGTTGTTGGGATGGGCGGGTCGCAATATTGAATAATGTGGCTAGGACAGGCCTCATTGGGGAGAGAAGATCTGAGCAAAGATTAAAAAGAAATGAAATTAGCCAAGCAGAGATCTTGGGGGAAGAGTTTCTAGATACCATAACAAATGTGGAGAAGTTACATTGACTCTTTTATTGATAAGGTAATTGAGACTCAGGGAAGTGAAATGACTTATTTAAGGTCTTACAGAAGGTTGCTGGCAAAGTTAGTGTAGTTTCACCTCCTCATTTCTAGCCTCATCTTTATTCACCTGATCATATTACCATTCTGTTTGGCAAGATGATGGAACCTTCTTGTAAACCTGCCCCATACATAGCATGCTTAAGTGATGACTCACATTCTCTTGGCACATTTTCCCATTAGGTAATACCAAAAGTGTCTATGATCTTTCTTTTTTAAGTAATCAGTAAAATATTTATTTTGCTAAGTGCTGTGGAGGATAGAAATGAGGCGTGGCCCCTGTACCTAAGGGACTGAATCTATCCATAAACATTTTTGGACTTCATGTCCTTTCTTTCATCTATTTTTCCCTACTTTTCCCCAAACAAGGTCACAGATGGTGTCTACCTACAGCTTAGAATTAAGTCAAGTTCTCAAACTTCGTTTGTAGGTTCCTGAATTTCCTTCTAGATTCCGTTTGCTGCCAGCTGACCCATGGTGTCCCTGGTGATCCCTAGGTCACCAGTCTGCACTCCCTCTGCCCTCTGCCCTGTGTTGGATCAGGCCATGTCAACAGGCTATGCTTTCTCTCTCCTCCTAGGCTTTGATTAGGTACTCCACCTGGACTCTCAGTTACTCTCTGGGATTGTCTTCTTGCCTCCTGTATTTCACAGTTGTTGGGACCTGTCCCCTTGATTGGAGACTTTGTGTCTTCTCATTTGGAAATGAGCTCCTCAGACAGTGTGCTTGGTTCCCTTAAGCAGCCTCTCTGAGCCCGAGTTAGTTCTCTTAGCCTCTGGCCTGAAAACTCTGGGTATGTGCTGAGTCCTTCTGCCCACACTTGCTGGGAAGAGATTGTGGTGTCAAGCCTGGGTTATGGCACTTATAAAACATCACTGAAGAACAGAAGGCTGTATTTTTAGATAATTAATTTTCTGAGAACTAGTATTTGGCAAGCCTGTTTTGGATAAGATTGTGGCATAGAATGGAAGGTGGAACTGGAGTCTGGTCTCAAAGGATGGCTGGAATTAATAGGTATAGGGGAGAGGACAGGGTGGGGGTGAACTTGAGATGTTGTGGCCCAATGAGAGATTAGCCTAAAGGGAACGTAGAGGGTGTGTTTGGGAGCGGTGGTGGGAAGAGGAATGGTAGGCAGGGCGAGTGGAGCAGGGCCTGTAGTGCCAGGCCAGGGAGTTTGCTTTACAGCATCATAAACTTTTCCTAAAAAAGGAAGTTCCTGGGAAAGTGGCATAAAGGCATAATGACAGGTCACTAGGACCTGTATATCCATCTGCCTATCTTTGAGCATCTCAAATTTACTATGTTCCTGAATGTTCCATGTAAAGAGGTCCCCCTGCTTATTCTGCCTCAGCATCCTGTTTCTTACTTATTGTGTGCTTGTTTATTCTCATTCTCCTCTTGTGTATCTTAGGTGAATGCTGCCAGGTGGCCAGAACTCTGATTTCTTATTGCAGACACAGGATCCAGCATAGCATCAGATACTGAACACTCTAAAAAATACGTGTTAACTGGATGAATACCTTAAACTAAATATCTGTTTCTCCAAACTTGCTTTACCTTTTGAATGCTTGAGTTCTGTTAATGTTAATATCATCTATCTTGCCTGAAAAGTTGGAAATTTGAGGTCAACACTGAGGAAGACATTAGCAGAGGACCTGGCAGCTTCTGAACTGTGCACGGGGACTGTACTCCCACTGAGATCCTGTTTTATACTCCATTATGACAAGATAATACAGTGTGCGCTGTTGCATTTTAGAAATGAAGGCTGAAAGCAACAGATGTGAATAATGAAGAAAAAGGGGAAATCATTCAGAAGTTGGGCTGCTGGTGAATTGTAAATTACATATTTCTAAAGGTAACCATCATATGAGCTGTTCTGATCTCTTCCAAGGTGCAAAACCACATAGCGGTTGAATGTGAGCTCTGGACTCAGATTGCCTGCGCTTTGATCCTGGCCCTGCCACTTACCAGCTGAGTGGCTTTGAGAATGGTGCTTTACCTGTCTGTGGCTCAGTTTTCTCATCTGTAAAACATGGGTAAGAATACCACCTCACAAAGTGACTGTGATTAAGTTCTTAGAGTAGTACTAGCACATACAGTGCTTAACAAGTGTTTGCCATTAGTAGCTGTTAATATTCAATGGATCATTGAGACAACATATATTCTGTTGCCATTTTGGGCGGCTGATATGAGATAAGAGGGTGTGATAGTGCAGAGAAGTTAGAATTTGTTGAGTGAGGACCAAGTTCCTGTGGGAGACAGTGGGAGGTACCAGGTCCAGATGAGATTATTTCTGGTAAAATGTGCATGTGAATTCCTTGACACGCTCAGGAAGTGTTACCACTTTAGTTATCTTTACGAGGGGCTGCACAGACAACTAAAAGAACTCTGCTCCTACCCTTTTTTCCCCCTTTGTAGAAAGAAAAGACAGCCAAATCTGAAGCCAGGCAAATTATAAGCATGGTCGTTAGTGCAGCATTGAAGTTCTCTGCCTTCCGATCCTCTCCTTTGTGACTATGACCCTCCCACCCTCAGTGAACACAACTGAACTTTTCATTCCAAGAGTGGTGATAGTGGAAGTAAAGTGGGCCAGGAGGTTTGGTGATTTTACCAGATTGATTAATCATAAACAGTTACTTTTCACCTCTGGGTCCCTGTGACCCACCATTTCAGGCACTTAGCATTCTCATTGATGAACAGAAAAGATGGAATAGATCCCAGTTATTTTACACTTTGGAGTGATTTTATTTTGATGAATGTTGAGATTTTTGGAAGCGAAACATTTTAGGGCTATAGAAACAACTGGGACCAGTTACCTGCTGTATCAGTAAGGTCTTTCCTAGCACCTCTGTGGGGCTTCACACACGTATACTTTGAGTGTCCCTCAGTGAGGCACCTGAGAACAAAGACATTGACACTCTTTTCTTCTGGATGCAAAAGGCAAGATGCCAGTGTGAGACTTTAAAGTTTGAAAGAAGATGCTATAGGATGTAGTGTGTGGGCCTATGCCTTTCTCTTACCCGAGACTGAGTATGAGGTCAATTATTATTATTATCATTTTTTTTATAGAAAGGCATAGATGTATTTTCTGAATAAGGCCTTAATCAGGGTAATCACTTGTCTTTGTAGCACATTCTAAAAATAAAAGAGTCTCTTTAACAGTTCCAGTATCAATGAACAGTCCGCTCTCTTTAAGTGTGAGCATCGCAGAGCTGAGAGCACATGTGCCTCCCTCTCTGAGAGTGTCACCAAAGCAATTGCAAGCCTTGTAGAGAGGACCTTCTTTGCTGTGGAGTAGAAAATATGTTTGGCTTGTCCTGACGTGTTGGAGAACCTCAGTGGCATGAGAGGACATCTGAAAGTATCAATCATTCCGGTTCCTTTCCTGGCTTTTTGACTCTTCCTCTTCACCATCCTGATGTAGTCAGTTTTCTAATTCTATCTAAGAGGATTTAAGTCTCAGATATTATTTCTTCCCTGTCATATGGGTCCATTTAGTACTCTAAACTTCAATTCTCTTGTTATGTGGGCTGCTCTCTCCATTTGTTTTTTGATACTTCCCTGAACCATAGTCATCTGTTTATTTACATTATCCTGAGATTTCTCTGTCTGTTCTCGCAGATTATTTCATTCATTCAGTGCCAACTTGATTTCCCAAGACTGAATATCTTACTGAGTGTTTGGCCT